CTCCGAAGCTGGGAAAGGCAGCACGGGAGCTGCCTGTGCCCGCCCTGTTCTCAGCAGCACTGGGCCTGCCTGCCCTCCACGCTGCGGCCTCCGCTGTAGATGCGGACGATAGATTTGCTCGTTTCCTTTGGCTGCTGCTGTCTCCTCTCCGCCTTCTGCAAGGATCATGGCCCATGTGAACAGCTTCCCTGAACCCCCCGGACACATGGCTGCTTCAGACAACCTGGGGTGGGCTGAGGGCATGGGAGGCTTTGGCCTGGCTGTGTCCCACAGGGGCCTGTGTTGTGGAGGATGAGGAGGTGTGGAGAAGGGAACGAGGAAGGAAAAACGCAGGAATATATTATCAAACAGGATACAGATGAAAGTCCAAAACTAGACTGGGCATGGTGGCCCACGCCTGGAATACTTTGGGAGGCTGAGGTGGGAGGATTGCTTGAGGCCAGGAGTTCAAGACCAGCCTGAGCAACACAGTAAGACCATGTCTCTACCATAAATTTTAAAATTAGGTGGCTGGCACACACCTGTAGTCATAGCTACTCTGGGAAGGGGCCGAGAAGTTGAGGCAGGAGGATGGCTTGAGCCCAGGAGTTTAAGGCTACAGTGAGCTACGATCATGCCACTGCACTCCAGCCTGGGTGACAGAGAAAAACCTCATCTCTTAAAGTGCAGAACTGCCTTGTAACCACGTTTTCCTCCAAAGCCTGGTCACGTGGACCGTGCTGATCACCACCTCATCCCACCACCTCATCGCTGTCCCCAGTCACTCCCCCGCCCCACGACCCCAGGTGCTCCCCTCCACGCCAGTGCTGCCTTTTGAAAGAAAAGTCTTCCGAAGGATGCCCCTCCACCCACCCGCTTCCCCCGGCACCTATGGCAAAGCCTGGTGACCGAACCCACCCTCTTTCCCCGGCACCTACGGCAAAGCCTGGTTACCGAAGGGGCAGAGCATTTGCTTGAGAGCCTGGGAGTCCTGTCTTGTCATGCCTTGTCATTTTATAGTCAGGCAAGGACGCGGTCTTCCTTGCTGCCTGGCTACTATTTAGGGCAGGTAGAAGCTGAAACGAGATTCAGTCCCTGAGCCCCACGTCCTTTCTACACACTCCTGAAATTTCCAGTGAAAGGACCAGTCCCTTGGGCAAAGCTGTTAGGAGAGGGGACAGGAAAAGGGACGCCTGTACCTCAACAGGGGATGAAAGGAGACGTGGAGTGTTTGCCGTGTGCCTCTGTGCTCAGTCACTCCGAGCCATGTGGAGCTGGCCATGGTGCCTAGCAGGGTACTGCACACCACAGCAGTGCAGAGGGGCCCCCCTCAGGTATTCTCCATGCAAATGGGATGAGACTAAAACTTGGCTCCCTAGGCCTAAGGGTCTAGCGGCTCCTGCCTGCTTTGCCCAGTCCAGCTTTTCTGCATATCTCCTGTTGCTCCTGGAAAGCCTCTGCCTGGGCCACAAAGTTTCCTTGGACTCCAGATGACAAGAATTTCTCTAACCAGATTGCAAAGGTTCTCACACCCCTCACAGCTACACTTTGGGCCAATCAGGCCTCTGTGGGGAGCAGCAGGGAACCACTGCCGTCTGAGCACTGTTTCTTTCTTCCTTTCCTTCCCTTCCTTTTCTTTTTT